ACACAACATGAAACTAGTCATTAGCGCTACAGTAAAGGCTGTCAGAAGCTTCATTACTGATTAATAATGGAGAACACAATGTACTGAACAGCCTCCCCTCATCCTAGAAGCAACTAGGAACTGATCTACAAAAACTTTCAATCCTAATAAATTGATGAAACAATATCACGGAATTTATAATTACAGGTTAGAGCATAACTAAGCTTTTGTTTTGACCTCACTGAACAAATTCTGTTTCAAAAGCAACAGATCATGTATGTAATGAAGACTTCTCATTCTGGAAACAGGCTTAAAACACTTTGCAGGTGGCTGTTATGTATGCTGAACAATGAAATTAGTAGCTTCTATTAAACACAACATTTGCATGATATATTTTCTTGCTTAACTTCATTCTTACCAAAAGAATACAAACAATAGCCAATGAAAATAGATTTAACAAAGTCTGCCAGCCAACTAATGTCAAGACTTTATTTTACTGATCAAGACAGTCGCACCTACACAAAACTTCATAAAATCTGTTTTTCTAAGAGATATTTAATAAACATAACCACTTAAGATCCAAAGAAAGGTGGAAATCATAAATGCAGACATATATGACAGCAACTACCAAGATAGCTACTTAAATGGTTAAAGGTTAAAAAAAGTAAGCAAATGTATTGTGAAACTGTTCTATAACACCTTTGAACCAATGCTATATTTAAGCAGTAAATTAAAATAATTTAATTTAGAAACAAAAAACAATTATAAGAACTACCCTACATGAAATCAATTCCTTCAACACATCGTTAAAGAGCAGTCCTGTGGAAATAAAGCGAGACTTCATTGCTGAAGCGTATTTGACTTTCAAATCACTAATTCATCACCAGCTAACCGGAATAGCCATCATTTTTATGAGCTACTGAGCATACCGAAACTCACTGTTAGTCCAGAACAAGAGCGATCATAAACTTACTGCAGTAACTTAAAGATTCTGCATCCTGAACTCTGTTCAAAGTGGCAACACACAAAATCTTTAACATCTATGAACAGGTACAGAATATTAAATTACTGGAGAAGAAAAATTCGACGCAGGTCCCTCTAGCCAGGAAAACACTCTTTTTTCCATTTCTTCTAATCTAACCACTAGCAGATACAGAGTTCAAAAACTTCAGGAGAGAATGTTTCTCATTCCTTTTGTATAATGAAGCACAGAGATCAAACATCTATCAAGCACTACCACTGACATCAGTGAAAGCAAGACAGGAGGAGGAAGATAGGTAATTTCAGTTAATCTTACCAGTTCATCTATGTCTCAGAAACATTATAAATATTAATATATATAAATATTAATGAATTACTGCATATGAGGAAGAAAGACATAGAATAATAATCTCGAGAAGAGACATCAGTATTGCAGAATCTTTTCCCAGACTTGCCATCCACAGTCTTCATCATCAAAGACACTGCACAATCACCGTCCTGTATAGTTCTGGAAAATCAAAACTTGTTTGCTATTGCAAATGTACACTTTGATAAGGAGCTTTTCTCTGCAGTTTTTTAAATGTACATAAATTGAAACATGAATTTATGAGGACTAACGTGGCAGTTTATATGTTTATTATGAATATTTCAAAGACCTGATAACATTCCTATTCATCCTACTGAAAGCGCACTAAAAATGCATTAGAAGTAATGCTGTAAAATAATGGCTCACTTTGAGTAATAAATCTTTACTGACAGAGGAATGTAGTGGTTTGGGGCATTCCTTAATGCACATGTTTGGCAAGTAATGCCATATCTTAAAAGAAGACCTCAACAGTTCGGATCTTTGCAAGTGGGTCATTTATGTAACAAGAGAGACCAATTTATCACATATCTAAACTAAAAAGGTTACCAAGATTCTGCCTTATATATGTTCCATGACAATGTTTGGTTCACAGTTCCTTTAACTGATGAGATCATTAGCAGCAGTGTATGAAAGACTGCTGGAGGAACAACAAAAGAAACCTGTGCCAACAGTTCCAGAAGACTATGGCATACCTTCAGAATACATAAATTTTCTTTAGCAATACCAGTTCTTAATGTGAATCATTACTCCTTGCTATTGGTGCTGAAGATCTCTAAGAAGTTGCATCAATTCCTCTGCTGTCAGGCAGCTGACATTTTCTAGGAATCTCCAGGGGATCAGATAGGAGTCTCAATTTAAAAAGTTTATTGTTCTTGTTAACTGTGCATCATTTCCTAATTGAGAACCACGGAAGAGATTACTCTGAGACAAAGGAGCTTGCTACTTCAAGATTACCTTTATTTCTAAAAAAGAAACTAAGCAGTGGTGTGCAAATATATGCCCATATATACACCTATAGCTCCAGAAATAAGCATTATTTTTGAGAGATTACAGCCATGTGGAGTTAGCTATTTAAATATGCCTATATATAATCTACACTCATTTAGTGGATAATAAGGTTTGTTTTCCCTAGGTGGTAACTGAAAGTTATTTCGAATATCCAGACTGCCAATTCTTTGGCAAATTTAACATTTAAAATGAGAGCACAGCAGCAATATAAACTAGAAGGTCTAATATTAGCATATTCAAATTAAATTTACATCAGATATTTATCAAGCACTGTACCACATATACACTATGAACAGCAAATATTAAGGAAAACATTACTGCACTTATATCTTGAACACTGAGCCAATCTCTACATTATAGGAGGCAAGAGTAAAAATGCAAGAGGATATAACAGGTGTAAAGAGTGTTCAGTGGAGATACTGAATGCTTGGATACATGGAGCAATTAAATAGATTAACTCTTTGTAGCTCGGCATATGCAAGATTGGTATTATATGAAAGTGGATAAAGTTGTGAATAGAGAATGACTGCTCACCCTCTACTGATGTAAGGGTGAAAAAAAATCAAATTATTAGGCAATGGGTTTAAAAGAAACAAAATAATACTATGACTCATGGTGATAGTAAGGCTTTGTATGCTGGAAATTTAGTGGATAATCACTAAAGAATGTTCAGAGAGGAAGGTCCAAAGAACCTGCACAAACATGCAGCTGCAACTTGCAGCAGCAAAGCCCGTGAATGCAAAGCACAGGAAATTGAATGCATACTTTGTATTTGTTCTGTTTTTGCACTCAGTCCTGCAGTTTGATCCTGTCCCATACACAACACTCATTTTTCAGTGGAAGGATGAAAATTTTCCATTGCTGTCTGGCAGTACAGGCTCTGCCTCCTCTCCTCAGGCTAGCAATCAGATGTGCATAGTAACCAGAAATGAAATGCAGCCAAATCTTGGAGTACACCTACCATCAGTCATTCAAGGCAAGGTTAAGCTCCCTGATTATCCCTGGGAAAGGAAACTGAGGGAAGCATCTCCTAAAAGATAGCACTGAGTGGGGCCAGCTCTAATGCTCAGTAAAAACAAAATAATCATTAGGCCCCTAAGGCCTCTTCACACTCCTTAAATGTTTATAGAAATATAGGGTCTTATCAATAATACCAAGACCACAATAAAGAGATGGAACCTAATGGCAGCCTCCACACTGATGACAAAAATGACATACATCTCAAAGGAGGAGTGATCTTCACTGGGTGGGCAATTGCCATGTTACCCAGAGGCATTGTTTATAGAGGTGTAATTTATTAAAACAGATCATCCTCAATCATAAAGACAACAAGGAGATTACATTTAGTCTTGCAGACCATGTGAGTTCAGAATTCCAGGGTATCATTCTGTATTCCAGATACATAGTTTAGTAGCTTGTGGTAGCAATAGTAATGGGAGGACAGTTGGACTAGATGATCTTGTAGGTCCTTTCCAATCTTGTGATTCTATAATTCTATGATTCTTTATATGTTTGTACATTTTATTTACTTACACAAAGCATTTCAGGAGGCATGATTATGAATTGTTATCACCAAAAATATACAAGCTTTTTTGGGATGAAATTTCTTGCAATGCAAGGTATTGTGCCAGAAAGATCTTAAATTGTTTGATTATTAACCAAGCTGAATAATATATATATGTTGGTACTGGGAAGATGAAAAGCAAGTATCTGTTCTTTTGAAGCCATTTGAAAACAGTACAAAGGTTCTAGGTAGAAAAAGCAAGTATTTGCTAGGTACAGTTGGGAATACTGTTCTTTAGTAATATAATTAGGGATGGCGCAGCAACACATTTGAGTTTTAGAAATTAAGTTTCATTTTGATGTAAAACAAGAGTAAGGCTTTTAAAATTGAGAGAAAGAAGAAAATGAACACCCTGGAGGATTCAATGTTGCCAAGAGCGCAGGATATATAATAATTACAGGTATCGTTCAGAACATTTCAGCATTCCAAAACAAACACTGCATTTCCACATCCCATTGTAAAGAATGACATGCTGATGTCTAGCTTTCTTTGTCCTAAGTGAAATCCCAATGACACTCACTAAATAAATCAATGCATATATTTTTGTAAGACATTTTTGTTTGCAGGTGACATGATGATAACTAATTGGCAACTGATAATTAGAAATGTTAAACTACTATAGTTCAACTAAAATCAAAGAAACTGACATAAAAGACAAATGATTTTCCAGCAATTTATGATCTTTTAATAACAAATCCAGTAACTCCGGGAAAACAATCCATGCTTTTTACTTCAGTATCTCCCTTATCAAGGTTTACCTGAAGAATTACAGAGTTCTAAAAATGGCTTTGTTTTGAAATGTCACTGATAAGGTAACCTAAAAGAAAAAGAACATTTTGGTTCTGATAATTAAACCAGAATTAAAATTAATCAAAAGACTACTGGAAAAACTAAACTTCTTTGAAAAGTACGCAAATATAACTAGAAACAAACCCAGAATATTGCAAACAACAACAAAAAAATGCACTATTTCCAATTACTTTTGCTGGAATTGCATTGATACACTTTAAGTTTTCTAAATTGAGACTTGAAGCATTCAGAATAAAATACACAGAACTGAATTAGCTAAAAAAGCCTCTCCGCCCTACTTGTTAGTCCTACCTTAATCTGTGCAAAAGGTCTGTCAAAGTTTCCAACGTAAAGAAGACCAACATTCTGGGTGAGAAGCCTAAAAGAAAAGGAAAAAAATATTTTAAGCTTTACATCCATAAGCTTTTCGCATCTTCAACAGTTGTTACTGAACTCTAGCAAAGGGACCAGGCTTGTTGCAATGGCAAGAGTTACCTCTGCAAACACGATTACACAATCCTATGTGAACCAGTACAAAAAAACGAAAGATGTGCCGTGCATTGTACCATGTTCATTGATTGGTAGCTTGCTTTTTCTTGTCCAAAAAACCCTTCAACAGAATAATTTCACAGACTCCTTTGTGATGAATGTCACTCAATAAGACACAAAAATGGCAAGTGTCCCCCATTTCTATTTATTAGATACCTTAGACACAACAATACCGCCAGACGAATAAACACGCACCCAGAGCAGTAGGCTTAAGAGTCAACCAGATCAGGACAAATAAAAGCATTCACAGTGATATGAAAGCATCACTACTAGAAGAGAAATAATAGAGAATCTCTGTTATATTGTGTAATGGCTTTCTAAATAGAAAGTGTCAGACGTAGTTTGTGCTGATTGTTCTCTTCAACTTTTTAGGGTCATTATGTGCACTACCATGATTCAGAGGAATGGTAGGATAAGTTGACTCAAAGAAATGTTGGTGCTTCTGAATACATTTCTGCAGTTATTGGACAAGTCAGAATTTTTACTACACCAGCTCCAAATACCCAAAGGAAGCAACTTTAAAGAACAGGGAAAAAAGACCACTGCTGTAGGAAGGCAGTCAGCTAAAGTTGTATGAGATGGGCAGGCTGGGCAATCACTACATCCCCCTTGCTAAACAAAGGCAAAGAATTCATCCCCTTCAGGTAAGAGGCTCCAGAAGCATTATGCTGATGTCGACAGACATCTTCAAGGAAAATTCTTTGACTTCAGAACACTGAAATGGTTTTTGGTTTGATTAAAAAGGACATTCATCATATTCATCAGTAGTCCCAAGTTTTCATATAGTGCTTGCTATTAAGCATTTTTTTGTTTGCTTTTATATTCTGTTCCCTTTAATAAGAAGACCTCACACAGTCTAAATTCTCTCCCTCCACCTACCTAGAGATTGTCAGTAATTAAATAAGGGTGTATGCATTGTTTTGGTAAAGTGTGAATTCGAACACATCTCTTTCTTAGAAAGTTTATATTTTAAGTATACATATGATGCATATATATATATATATATATACACACATACACACCTGTAATTCACAGTGAATTACATGCTCTTTCTATATATACTCTGGTTGTCTTTTCCAACCAATTTCTCACCATCTCCAGCTCTATTTTTAAAAACAAAAGAAAACAGAAACTTTGATAGCAGCAAGTAATTGTTTTGACCTTCAATACACAACAAATGCCTCATAGTATGATTTTGATTCTTTCCAGTTCTGATGGCAATGTACATGACCTCAAACTGGCTCACCAACAGTGAGAATTATTAGAACTCAACAAAATGGCAAAGTCAAAACATTCAAGTATTTAATACCATAAGTAAGAAGTGGTGTCAAGTTATGTATCATCGTCAAATTTCTCTTGTAATTGGATTATGTATACAGAAATATACCTCTTGATAGAAATACTCAAAGGAAGGAAAGAGTAGAAAGACTGCAAAGCAGTCACAGTACACACAGGTAAGTAGTTTTCTCACTCTGTTCATCAACACACCTGGCTCAGGCTGAAAGAGCTTTACTGATTTGCAATGGATCTGCAGTACTGAAACAAAGTCAGGATGAATATGTCAAATTCACTTTTACCCACAATAAATTAAATTCATTTGGAACACAGGTCTCTGGAGTCGAAAAAGTCAGTGTATTGATCAAACCTCCTAGGAGTATAAAGCAAATTCAGAAAATATTTAAGGCTTTTCTAAATTAAAAGAAACATATGGGAAGTAATTAGTAGAAAAGGTTAAAAGAGAATCCATGAAAAGAATTCACGGTATGTAACCATGTTAGAGAGAGGCAGCTTAAAGCACCTTAAAAAGAACTGCATATAATTTTTGTCAGGCAAAAGAATAAAAAAAAATAAAATAAAAAATTGCCAGCTGCATTTCTAATAAGGAACCTAAAAAAAAAAAAAAGAAAAGATAGACAGTTAATTATTCTCACTTGGTCAGTCTTCATGATCCTTGCTTTATCAGAAAGGATCATTACAAAGCTGAGTCTTTAGGATAGCTTTATTTTTAAGTAATGAACATTGAAGGAACCTTAAGACTGGTCTTTCCCAAAGACAGCATTGCTGTCTATGCTACTTAATTTGCTACCCATATTGTACATTCAAAGCTCTCATAGTTGAAATCAGCATCCCAATATGGTCATAATTTCACATCCTGAAATATTCTGAGCTCCTCCTCTCCCCACCAAACAGCTTGAGCAATCAAAAAAAAAAAAATAAATCTCAATTTCATGACTAGTATAAATTCTTTTACTTCAGAGTGATTCTGGCCAGCACAATTTCCTTATTTCAGGAACTCACACAGCAGCATGCAGAGACAGGTGGGCTGCAACAAGAGTTGCTGCTGAAGCTCTAGACAAGCCAAACTATGGCAGGAGCGCTCTCTATGCCTCAGCTGCCTCCAGGGAAGGAATTAAAGAAACTGTGTGCCAGTGAGGAGATCAGTGAGGCAGAGGAGCATGTGTCAATTCTCACCTCTCCCATCACACTGAAAATATATTTAAATTACTTAAAATTAACATTATACCATGAAACTTCAACATGTGTAAATTGATACGGATATTCTCTCTTAATGCTCTCAACTAATGACCCTTTTAAGTTAAGCAACATTTACCTTCAAAGACTTTCAACAGTGGTCAGGGTTAGTTATAAGCACTTGAATGTTTTCTCATGACAATGTCTTCTTAAAATTTAAATAGTCTGTTTCTTACCTAATTTCACATTTGCACAATTCTGTACTCCAAACCCCCACTGACAGTACTCAAGCCTTGCCAGCAGCTGATAGCATTGACTGAAATCAACACCAACCTATGAAATAGTGGTGATGGTTTCACAATGCAATTGTCATGTTTGAATTTCACATCCAAATAATTACCTTAAAATTATGAGAAACAATCATAAAAAATGCAAATGCCTACAGGCATTTCACATATAAGTACTTACAGTTTAAAATACGTAGTAATATCCAAAGTTCTCTAAACTAATCGTATTTGTTTATAGATTGCAACATATTTTATTTGTAGCATATTTCATTCAATTCATTACCAATACGATTTTTCTTTTTTTTTCCCCCCATAAGTAATAAAAAAAAAAAAACAGAACCAAGGTAGGAAACAACACTCCAAGGAGCAGTACTTCTTTAGGACAAACTGTCCATGCATAAAACTATAATCCCCATACTCCTTCCCATACACCAAATTGAGCAACCATCTCCCTAGACATGCCTATCAGGGCTGTAGCATTACAAAACATCATAACAAAAAATTATTGGGACCAATCATTTCTGATTTTGGGCACTGTAATATCAAAGTCATAAAGACTTTCCTAGTACCAAGAAAACACTGCCAAATGCCTTCTTTTCTACATTCAACATCCTAGATTTGGCCCTTTTCTATGACCAAAAGAATAGCCATTTTCAAAATCCCAGCTGCAGGAGGCAGTCTGCAAGGGATGGTGACTGCAGGAGTGGGTATGGTCAAGCACAGAAATACAAAAAGGAGGTGGCAGTAGAAGGGGGGTAAAATGCGAATAAATATGGCACAAGATTAAGGGCTGGGTGAGAGGAAACTTAGAATGAGGAAGAGTAAGGCAGCAGGGAATCTGGCAAACAAGACTAATAATGAGAGACATAAGAACATGACAAGGCAGCCCTCTGGACTGGAAAGTACTGGAAGAGAGGGGAAAGCTAGATGGGTTATGGCTATGAGAGCACAGGGACTGAGTGACCAAGAATTCACTCTCCTGAGAACAACTGACCTGGGAGCTGGGACAGTCCCATGTCCTTGTCCCAGCTGGGACATCCCACTGCCTTTGGCGATGGAAACCCTTGGGCCCTTGGCAAGGAACTTAATCAGGATAGCCCATTTCAATGAAGCCTGACTGCATTCACTTCTCTGCGTGTCTATTCTGGTAACTCAGCAATAGCTGTCAGATAGGATGAAGTGGCTGCTTCAAGATATTCTCAGCAAAGACTCAGGCACATCTCACTGCCATACAAATGCTTCAGCCACCAAGTAGCACTGCGCAAAGGCAGAAAGTTGGCATCAAATAGTCCCTACATCTTACTGGCAGCGTGGCCTCAAGGACATGGCTTGAGCAGGAGGAGAACCCTCAGGGCCGCCTGTCGTACTGCAAGGCTGCTCTGACCACCTAACGGGGCCACACAACACGTCGATCTGAATACATCTGACCAGTTCATACATGAACCACCTGTGAGATTCCCTCTGGACTATGCAGCGTGGGAGGCTTCCGCACAGGGGCACGCACAGAGGTAGGGGAGCAAGGGGAACCAGGAGCCGCTGCCTCTCACAGCAGCGAGTTACGGCAGGCGAGCTGAACGCGGTAACTTGCTCCTGTGCGAGGCAGCAGCTCCTGTGCTTGCTCTGTTGCAAGATCATAGTGTTATCATGCAGGAACGCAATGCTGAGATGTGTGGCACCAGCCAGCAGCACACAGGTCAGACAGGGTGGGAGTGGGAGGCAGGGTGTGAAAAATGCAACGTGTGCAGTAGAGGGGCTGAGGAGATGTAAGGGAAATGGCAGCAGAAGGGTGGGGAGTGCTGCGAGAAAACAATGAAAAATGAGCAGGCTTGAGACATTTGTTTTTTCCAAGATGAAAAGCTGCGTGAAACAGGCAGCAGCAAGCATGCAGAGCCGCCTGCAGCCATGCTTCAGTTATTCCCTATCCCTCCGAAAGAGAAAATGCAACTTCTTCCTTATATTTCAAAAATAACTCTCATCAAAATCCAAGAACTTAGAGCAATTTATCAAATGGTGTCTTGTAGTAGCATCTCTGTTTGGCAATTCTCAAATTCAACTTCATGGACATTGTGGT